CCTGTTTTCAATTTATGGGAAAAAAGCAAATGTTATGTTTTTTGCTTAGGGGTTCCTCTTCCCATATCATCCATCCCCATTCATTAACTATTTCCCAGATGCATGTTTGGTTTGGAACAAGAATAGATGAGCTTTCTCAGATGTCATACCAATATTGGTAAAGGCCTTTTCCATGGAAATGATCCCCCATCTGATTGCCTTTCACCATATTGGGAAGATGTTCTTATTTTGAGAGGCCCTTAATTTGTGAGGTTGTAGTGATTTTATTGGAAACTTAACTGCCATTCCTGTCTCCATTGTATTTATATTGTTGTTCCATTTTACTATTTAATTATAATAAGTCACTGTGTGTAATTCATAAGTCTTTGAAAGAAAAAGTATGCATCTCCCCCAGTCCTTATGAGCTAGTTCTCTTTCCTACTGCTAATCTAAGGAGCATTTGTCAATACCAATAGCAATAATAGAGTTCAATATTCTTTTCTAAAGTGGAGTTTGACCAGACGTTTGAGTCTGATCTGGAGTAGCTGATATAAGTAGCACTTCTAGCCAAGACATTTTGTTGCCTGAAGCAGAGTTCAAAAGCCACCTCCCCTCTTTGGGCCAACACCTACCAAGTCTCTGCAGATAACAGTTCCTTCCCTCAACAATCTGCCAGTATCTCTGTCACAATGCCACATGAACCAGGTCACTTTACTCTGCTTCCTGATATAGTTGGCCCTGGATAGAAATGGTTGATTACAGGAAAGTATCGTCATCTCTTTTCTGAAAATGACTGGCCATTTTGAACAGTATCCTATTGTGCAAAGAAATTGCACAGCACAGTGATTCTGATAACTGGTGTGAAGATGATATATGCACAATATGTCTTGACACAATCAAGAGTAAGTTTTCACGTATATGGACAGAATCTGATGGGGCTTTTCTGGCCTGCTCAATTCTCTTGTACTCCATTGATTCTGTTGTGTAAGTGGTGGGTGCCAACAATTCTTTTTCAGAAGAAAAATCCACAACTTGTACAACCTAGATCTAACACTTCCCAACAGAAGCCCCCAAATGAGCAGAAATGCTAGTTTCTGGATTGGGACAGATCAACAGGACTCCCTTATGCAAATTCTGCCAACATGTCCTCAAAAGCTAGTTTTTTTGCTCATTTCCAGTTGCTTCCAGAACTGCTACTTCTTCATTCAGCAAACAGTGGGCAAGACAACCTGGGAACAGGAATCGGCGGGGCACAAGAAAATCTGGGGTGGTGTATATACCCTGTTGGATTCTGCCAGCTTAATTTGATGCAGAGGGATGTATAAGAATCAAATGCAGAATATCATTACAGTTTAGACCAGATTTCATGGGAATGCTAGTGAGACATGTAAAGGCCAAAAGCACTTTGAAAAGTATAATCCTGAGATGCAAGAGCTTTAGAATCTAAGCTAGAGTTTGGATCCAAAGATAAGGAAATCTTCCCCCATAGCTAAGGCAATGGAATCTAGCCTTTCTAAAAGAATTTGAAACAAGTGGAAACACTAGATTCTGGAAGGGTATACATCAGCAGAACTCACTGAAGGGAGATCCGTTGACTAGGCCTGTTCTGGAAACAACTGGCTCCTCTCATTTCTGGGATTACTTTTAGAGTACTAATTTCCTGTTGTTCAAGGAGTAGGTCCTGTAGGAGTAGCAGAACTAGCAGAGATGGCAGTATGGGAAACTGATTATTGTTTTATTTGGTGGGTTTCAATTAGGTTGTATAATAGGTAAGTCAAGTTCAATGAAGAATGCCAAATAAAGGGGAACCAAAGGATGCTTTACTTTAAAAGAATTTTAAAGACATTATCTCCCATACCCATGTAGAGAATGAATGGGAAAATGGAAAATCAGGCAATTACTTGACACAGTTAGTTTCAGTGATAAAAGTATCATCATATCTTAAAGTTCATCTGAAATCATCCTCAGCCTCATTATTGTTGAGAGAAAAATTGTAGAAGACCCTTTTGAAGACTGGTTCCACATGTTACCTTGTTAATGTGGGCACATGTAGAATCAAACCCCTTTCCATTTGTGTCAGTCACTGGAGGAAAAGCTAACTTTTCATGTTAACAGTGACAAATGCAAAAGGTGGTGACAGTAGGCCCAACTAGGAAGTGTTTTTAGCACTTGTGAACCCCTTACCTTACTCCATCCACCTCCAGTTGAGGGTTTCCTAATACAATCCCTTGCTTCTATCCTTGATTTCATATGAATTCACCATATACCTCATAGAACTGCTAAGCCACCATATATGTGCTAATACACAATGTACACACCAGGCCCAGCAGTTCAAAAGCATTCGGTGAAGGTGTGATGAAGTGTGATAAAGATAAACTTTTCTCTCTGTTTCTATAATGTCTAGAAGTTTTGGCACAGATAGCTTTAAAACTAGTAAAAAAATATACAGAGAAACATTTTGCAAAATGAATTTATTAAATAGAACCTCCCCTGCCTCCCATTAGTGTCTTAGGCTTACCCAGACATATTGAAAGCTAGCCCAAAGAAAATGTTTTACAGCAATTCCAGAGAAGTGGAAAAAAACAAATCCATAGTGTGCTTTGTCTCATGTATCTGGCTAGTTATTATTGGAGATATCTCCATGGTTGTCATGGAGGCTACAAAGTCCCAAGCTGACCCTAAAGAATGAGTCTTGGCATAAATCGTGAGGCTGTTTCTCAACAAGCTATTACTTGATAGTTGCCATCAGTGTGTGAAAACATACTCCTGTGAATCCAAAAGAACTTAAAGCTCTTGTTAATTTCCTACCTTAATGATAGGAATGAATATGATCAACATCATCATCATTTTTTCAATGCAACAGGTGTACATGACACCTAAGAGTTACACAGTGAAAAGAGACATGTACCTGCCTCAAGGAGCTTGCAAAGTAAAATGGACATTGAGGAAAATATCAGAGAAAGGGAAGGGTAGCAAGGGACACATAGGAGCAGTGCTATTACAAAAAGGATTGCAATGCAAATTAAGGCTATGCAAGCTTTGGGGACAGAACAGAGGGAGAAAGTTCCATGTATAAATACAGGGAGGGAGTTCCAAGTGTAGAGAAAAGCCTTAGCCTCATCTGAGAAGGCAGTTTGTAAATATTACTTCACTTTGTGGGCCAAGCTAAGCATTAGGGTTGTCAGATGACCAGGGAAAAACAGTTTTTGCCTGCACCTGTCTTTACAATAACTTGCTTGCAGCTGAAATTACTAAATGAAGCTTTTCACAGTGAAGAGATAAACATGATCATCTACTAATGTCTGCATATTAATCTTCTGTCAAAGGCATGCTATTCATACTGGTTGTAAAGTTGGAAATTGTCATCATTGTACTTTTATGTTTAAAAAATTGTCAGGCTATTCTTCATATGGGACACACAAATGTAAATGAAGACTTATTCATCTCATCTTACGAATGCCTTAGGCAACTAGGAACTGAAAAGACAAAAATATTAGGGCAATTAAAATGTTTGGTAGATGATACCTTTTGCATAATGAGAAGCATATTCAACTACTTCATTCTACTAGTCTCACATGATTGAAGGTGTGGATTTTGGCCAACTATCGTGAGAAGAAAATGTAACTGCTAGTTTCCTAGTGGAAGGGGGCTTCATTTCTTTAAGGCTGTTATTCTGTACTCCAGAATATTCCCAATACTATCCAGATGGAGCGGGACTTCAACTCCCCTAGCCAGCATAGCCAGTGGTCAGCAATGATAAGAGCCCTACTCCAGCAATATCTGGAAAGCTACATGTTCTCTGCCCTTGCACTACTCATTTTCTTGGGAGTAAACATGATGGAAATAACAGGATGTGCCAACGTGCTCATATTCGGTCTGTACAAGGTCTGCTACAGCAATGCCCAGCTGTCCAACCAGTCCCTGTAGGTGTGCATTTAAAATAACTGTGAAGCAATAATGGTGTGCAAATAGTGTGCATTTGATTTTTGCAGATCAACCTGCTGTTAAATATAAAGGAGAGGGCAGGTTGCAACTCTCTTGTCTAACATAGCAAATGAGGTACTGAGTTTTCTATTTCCTGTGACTTTCAGGATTCCAGTTCCTTAGGCAGCTGATAAAAAAGAAAAGCAGGAATGTCAGCACTGCGGTCAGAGCTGCATTTGCCAAGCCTCTGCCTTCCAAGAAGCACCTATCCCAGCAGAATACTTGGCAGTCTGAAGGCACTGACAGTAATCCGAGGTCCTCAGGCAGCGATCGTGAGGGAAAATGGCACATACTCAAAATGTCTGGCTTAAACTCTATCACCTAGCAAAGGGAATGGTGCACACAAAATGTTGCCACTTTACACCCTGAAACGTAATAAAATAACGCATGACGTCCAGCATGCAAGAGGAGTATCTTAATTTTCCTTGGGTAACTAGGGTCAAGTACAGACCCTGCTTGACATACCTCTACCCCCAAATTTCTTTGGGTAGCACCCCCCGCCCGCACCTTCTTCTTGTCTTCGCTTGGTACTATCCCTGTTCTTTTCAGCACTGCCGTCAGGCTTGCCATAAAATGTAATCTTGTGGAAGAGTTAGAAATACGCACACGCTCGTACAAAATCCTTCCCTACAGGATACGAATAATCAAGACAGTGATCCGTGCGGCCATTTAGTGGGGGGAAATGGCTTGTTCTTTCCTCAGTTATTGCTGGTGCGTGGCAGCGTTGCAGCAGAAAGCCAGTGCAGCGGGCTGAAGGTTCCCTTCCCTGGGATTTCGTTTGGGGGGCGGGGGTGGGTGCGCTCTGAACAGAAAGCTAGAGAAAAGGTCCGCCATATTTTTGCCTTACCACGCCCGGAGAGCTGAGCCATTGAAATCAGTCTGGATACATATTGTATATGCACCACAGTCTCTGCCTCCTTCCCCCCCCCCCCCCCGCCGGTACCCACCCCCGTTTCTTACAGTAAGGGAAAGGCGGAACCGAGAAAGGAAGCGCTGTGCCTCCCTGGCTTTTGCTGCTGCCGCCGCCGTCATCGAAGACCAGCAAACTAAGCCACCCTCTTCACCCCTAGTCTCCAAGCAGAAGAAGTTTACTTTCCGAGGAGCAGCTTTTAAAAGCAATCCAGACATTTTCCGGGGGCAGGGGAGCCTTTCGGCCCGCTCCTTCTGAGTGGACAATCTTGGACTGCTTTCAACACAGGGTGGGGAGAAGGGCGAGGAAAATGCGTGTCTGGGGGGGAGCGGCAGGGCAGGCTCAGTAGCAATTCGCTCGGCAAGCCGGAGAGGGGAAGGGCAAGCTCAGGGGGACTAACGGCGAGAGGAGACTGTGGCTGTTGCAGGAGCGGAGGCAGGGCAGGGGGCGGCCAAAGGAGGGTGGTGGCGTTTGCCTGGCGGACGCTCGGCTGTTTCTCCTCCCCGCGTGGATGTCTCCCTGTTGTTTGGTGCATGATTGAACGGAGAGGAGGAGTTGGAAGCTGCGAGTCTATCAAGAGGAAGGCTTGGGGAGGGGGGTAGGTGGGGAAGGTTGAGCTAGCGGCCGGGGCGGAGAGGGGGGCACGCTGTGGATGTGCCTGCGCGTCTCCGCGTGTTAGCAGTTAGGGCTCTTCCTGGGATCGCCTCGCCTTGCTTCGCTGTCTCCCCGGGAGGGGCGGGGGTGCTGCTCCCCGCGAAGAAACAGAAGGGCTCTCTCGTGTTTGTGGCTTGGGGTGTGCGTGTTTTCGGGGTGGGGGTGGGGGCTGTGCCTGAACCAGTTAGGAAGAATGACTCTGGAGTCCATCATGGCGTGCTGCCTGAGCGAGGAAGCCAAGGAAGCCCGGCGGATCAACGATGAGATTGAGAGGCAGCTCCGCCGGGACAAGCGGGACGCCCGCCGAGAGCTGAAACTACTGCTGCTGGGTAAGTCTTGGCTGGCGGCGCCCTCCACCCCATCCCCAGACAGTGTCTCTGGACGTTCACCCCCTCCCATTCCCTCCTCCATTGCTTCTTCCTCCTACACCGAAGTGTTCGGCGGCGCCTATGTGCAACGTGCAGATCTTCCATCGACGTGTAGCCAGCCATAGAGGAAACGATCCTTTGTGTGTGTGCCTACACTTGGTGCAAAGACGTGTGCGACTGTGTGTGTGGTGCGTGAGCGCGCACGAGGGTGGGGTAGTGTTGTATCTGGATGTATTCCGTACAGTTGTGCACATTGTGACAGTATATACAAGCCAGTCGCTGCCGTGTAAAATCAGATCATGGTGGTGTTGGGTGGCGGGGGGGGGGTGTGTGTACAAGGGACTGGGTGGGGGTATCAGGGAGGAGATACTTCAAATCCGAGTTTCCTCCCCCTTCCTTCCCTTTCTCTTTCAGCGGGGCTCAGCAAGCTCCATCCTGATGTTGTTCACTATAGCGGGGATGGAGACAGGCGTGTGGCGTGTCCGTCTCCCTTGTCGTAGACATCACAGCCCCTCCGTTCTATATTGCCTATGTCGTGTCTTCCTAAGTGAACAGATGTGTATAGCGGAGCGAATGGCTGCTTCGGGTGCCTGTAGGTGGCTTCGGGTGGAGTGGACGCCTGCCGAAAATGGAGAAAAAGGGATGAGGGTGGGTGAAAGCGAGAGGGGAGGGGGGAGAGAAGGATTCAGACAGAGATGGATGGCAAATGCGTGCTCGGGGGTGCGAAGGCGGCGAGCGACAAAAACTGCGCGCGCCCCCCACATGCATTTGTCGAGACTGACGCGAAATGAAGCTATGAACAGGAGGAGTTGACTAACAGGATTGATGCTGACAGGGATTTAACGTCTGCATTGTTCAGGGTATGTTCACGCCTCAGGAAAGCTGGAGCGACTCCTTCCTCTTTGCCGGCTCTGTAGTTAAATCTTTTCGTCTAAAGAAGGAATATTCACACGCCCAACATAGGCTTGTTTTGAGATCAAGGAAGACCCTGCTTTGCCCCACCTGTACCTGGAACAATGGACCTTCCCACTAGAGGGAATATATATTTAAAGGCTGCCGGATTAGAATGAACAAGGAGGTAGATTTGGACATCAGTAAGAGGGACAAGTAGTGGTACTACTTCGTGGGAAATACGATGGTTAGGGATTCCAACCACCCTTTGGAATAAGGACATCTGGCAGTTCTTAAGTGTATTAGAATTGGTTTGCTTTTAAATGGAAAAATTGCATTCTGTTATACTTCTGTTTAAACAGACTCCAGCAAAATCCCCTCTGTTCTTATAGTGCGTTACTGTATGTAGCAGTAACCAAAGGAAGAGGTTGTAACTAGAAGTGACGGCCTGAAAAATGTCTGCAGAGTGTTCTTTGTGAGGCAGGCATGGTGTTATAAAACTGGCTACCATGTGTAAGGGATGTGAATGTCTCATTGCTTTATATAGCCTTTCTTTGCTTTCTGTATAGAGGTGATCATTCAGTCTAGGTCTAGGCATATTTTAAGATAAACTAAAATTGGTTTACAAGCAGCTATGTGGATCTTCCAGAAAACAGTGAATTGGATAATTTGTCAGATGATTTTTTGGAAAATTTATCAGGGAAAAAACCAGCGAAAATTATGTTAATTTGCAAAAGTTCATTTGCAAAGGAAGGTGTTCAGTTTGCATCAGAAAATGTTCTAGTGCCCTTGAGAGGGAGTTGGCAACTTGTGGCTCTCCAGAAGTTTTGGGCTTCAGCTCCCTTCATACCTTACCACTAGTTCTGCTGTCTAGAGCTGATGGGGACCATAGCCAAAAACATCTGGAGAGACACAAGTTGCCTCCTGTGCCCTAGAGAAACCTAATTTAACATATTTATTTACTTAGTATTTTAAAAATCCATTTTAACTCCCAGTACACCATAATTATTTGACCTGAAATACTGGAGAAGGGAAAAATCAAGCACACTTAATATGATGGAAATGTTACATTATGTAGATATTTTCTTGTACTAGTAAAAATTTAAGGGCACTAGTATGTGCTTCTTTATGCTGGTTAAATTAAGCAGGAAAAAAACCCAATCGTACCAAGAAGTATAATCAATTAATATTTTATTATTTAATATAATATTAAATATAATACTATATTTATAATAAGGATGATCTTTTTCTCCTATAAGGAACCCAGAGTGGCTTCCATGGCCCTTCTGAAGTAGGTTATCCTGAGTCAGTGATAGATCTAAGTCTAGATCTCTCAAGTCCCAGTCTAGCTCTCTAACTAATACATTATGGTGACTCTCCCTAATTACATTTAATTTGACACAGTAATTGCATTTAGGAACTCAAAGAAATGACCATAATATGTGACAACCATTCATCTGTTTCAGGAGAACTCAGCCCTCTAAAGCTATTGAGGCACCTTTCATTTTTCTGTCACCATTCATTCATTCATTCATTCATTCCATGTCACTCTGAGAGATAGATGTATTTCATCCTGAAAAAATGTAATTACAACTTAGAAATTCCTTTGCTTGCTTAATTTTGTATTTGCAGTTGCCATGCATTGCATGTAAGCTTAAGAAAAGGGTGTTATTGTGGAGATATAAAGCACTGGGGAATTTTCTGCCTGACATCGTTGGTCACAATTGGAAAAACCATAAGCATTACATTCAGTGATTGCACAGCAGTGTATACTTACCCATTTTTGGTGTATGACAAAGCTGTGGAAATGGGAGGGAGAAAATAGTATTGCAAGGAAAATACGTGCTTTGTGCTCTGTAAGTATTTAGCCTATTTGATGTTTCAAAGGAAGTTGATTAGAAAATGAATACATGGGACGTGTATGTGTGTTGTTAAAAAGCTATGTAGAACTGTGTTACGGATGTTAGAATACATTATTAAGGCATTTCTGGCATATTGTCATGTAGGTCTGCTACGTTACATTACAATATATACGGTTGCTGCATTTGTTCCCCATTTCCTGCTTTATTAAAGCTGCAGTCCTAAACACAGTTAGACATACTTTGTAAAGTGAAGGAAAATTGAATTCATGGAACTGGATTTGGAAAGCTGGGATCCTGCTTGAGTTACCTCCAGAGAGAAATTAATTGATGTTTATGCTGAATGTAGTAGCAGGATCAGATACCTTTGTAATTATTTTGCTTTGGCTAGTTAATGAATACTGCTGTGCAGACATAAAAAGCTATTATACTTTTTGGTATTCAGTATTTGTAAAGTTCAGGGATTTTTGTTTCTTTTTCAGTACTATTCATGTTGCTCTGTTAGTTTAAAAAGTGTGTTTATAGTAGTGTGGCTTGTTTGAAAACATATATAATTTTTGTTTTTATTTATAGTCTTCCACATTTCCTGTAAAAAACCCAAGTTGACTTACATAATCATCCCGTTCCTCTCTATTTTATCCTCACAACAACCACTTGAGGTAGGCTGGGCTGAGAGTCAGTGACTGGTGCAAAGTCGCCCAGTGAGCTTCATGGCTAAGCAGAGAGACTTTGCTTTTTTTAAAAATGAATAGAACAAGAACAACATTTGAATGGTCCTGCATTGGTAGAATGGTATCAAATTGTTAAGCAAGATTACAGTGGGTTATTTCCCCCAAGTCTAATAGATGAACTCCACTAGACCCCCTGCTGAGCACCCTATATTCATTTCAGTTATGTGTGTACTGGGCTCTATAAACAAGCTTTCCTGAAATGTTCAACCAGAGCTGGATAGATTAAGAACATTGTCAGCAAACTTGTTATTATGCATATGTAGCTGAAACATATCTGTCTACACTGATTAGCAAGAATATTTAGATTTGTACAGTAGGTTCTTTTAAAAGCAAATCATTGAGTTTGACCATCCTCATGTGAAATAAAATGCTTAAAAGAATGAGAATTCAGAGATGTGAGGAATTCTTTGGTATTATTGTTGTGATTTTTCTTGCGCCTAACAATATTTTATGTACAATTTTAATATAATTGAATATGCTGTTCAGAAACTTATCTCCAAGCAGGTGTTTTTAAGTCTGGGGTGTCTGATTGGAAAAAATGCAATAGGATTTTATTTATTTACTTATCTTCCATATTGCCCAGTAGCTGAAGCTCCCTGTGCAGTTTACAATAATGGCCTTGGATTATGGATTTACCTCAAAGTAAGTGTGTTTGGGATTGCAGGGTTAACTCAAAATGTATCTTTATGTCGGTGCTACTTATCTACTGCATTACATTAGCACACTGTGGTTTGCATAATTTTTTATTGTTGTCGAAGTAAAATATTTCCAATCTTGTGTTACTTACCCGTGGTATGACTTAAAGGGCGTCTAATGCTTTGATTTTTAAGGGGTTTGCTATACACAGAAATGAAATTTGAAATGAAGGACTTCATCTCTTAGAAAGTGATGAGATGCTTAAGTGATCAGGTCTGCATTCTTATGATTTCCTGGGAGCAAGCCCTAATGGAATATTTTTAGTAGATATGCACAGAACTGTACTGTATGGCTGTGCGTACTTAGTGGTGTACCTCTGATGAAGTTAAATGGGTCATCAGGGCCTAGATGGAAGACCTCTAGGATCACTTCTAAGCTGCTTGGAGAAAGATGAACATTTTATAAATATGATAAATGTTTTCTTTAACAGACCTGTAAATAATAGCTGTTTGGTGATCTGAATCCAGTCAAAAGTGCATTCTGGTGACCAGAATGAAATAGCTACAAAAGTTGTTTTGTTTTGTTTTTAACTTTAGATGGCAAATGACCCATAACAACAGAACAGTTTGTCAAAAATGTTGTGGGCTAGAAATGTTTCTTGCTGCCTTATTCAGTATACTAAAAGTGGTTTCTAAGTTTAATAATCCCTTTTATACAAATTTATGGTTTAGCCATATTTGGAATATACTGGTCCTCAAATCTCAAAGAACAGTCTGTTGCTTGAAGGAAAGGAGAGAACTCAGCTCTTGACACCCTGTCTCCTTTCCATATTTGACAAATAATC